AATTCACACAGATGATCTATCCAGAATTTTGGAACTGAAAGCCCACAGTGTCTTCACCTGCCATGACCCTTCCCTCCATTACACCTGAGTGCCTGTCCTATGGCCATCCCTTCACCTTGTCAACACCAATGGGATTGCTCTCAAATTTCTATGCCTAGCCCAGAATTCTAGACTCCTATATCCTGCCTCTTGGTTATTTCAATTGTGATGGTTGTGAGGATTCTCAATCACGTGGAAGAAATGGAATTCTTGATTTCTTCTCCTAAAGCTACTTCTTTCCCAGCTTTCCTCATTTGTTGCTTTTCTGAATTTCAAAATTAGGGCTGAACTTTGGTTCCTCTCTTTCCCTCAACCTCTCACATTCAACCCCTTAGAAAATCTTACTGAATCTGCATTTAAAACAGGAAAATGTCTCCCCTTCTCCACTCCCTCTCATCACTACCCTCGTCAGTGTCTCTTCCCTAGATGACAGCAGTTGTCTCTGCACTGATTCCACTGTATCCTGTCTTATTGTTCCACGAGTTATGCTCTCCACAGAAACTAGAGTATCTTTTGTAACACAAATCAGATCATGTTGTCACCTTGCTAAAAGCTCTCATTGGCTTCCTAAAATAAAATTCAAACTCCTTACCCTGGTTTACAAAAATCATCATGGTCCAGCCTCTCCCTGCTTCTCTGTCCTCTCACATCTCACTTCTCCAAGCCCTGCACTTCCTCCCTTCTGAACCTTCTTTTTCCTGTTCCTTAATCATGTGTGTTGCCTTCTCAGGGCCTTTGCACTATTTGTCCTTTCCAGAATGCCCTTCCCTCTGAGTTTTTTATGGCCAGATTCTTCACGTCTTTTAGATCTCACTTAAATATCACTTCTTCAGAAATGTCTTCCCAGACGACCCTGCCTAAGGCCACTCTCTATCAGTATCTGGAAACGCTTGTAATTTGCTGATATTTCTTCATTGTTTGTTTATTTTATGTTGCCTCTACTAGGTTGAACCATAGGTCCATGAGAACAGGATCTTATTGCTTATTTACTGTATTTTCCTGTAGACTGGAGCAGACTTGCCATGTAACAGACACTCAAGACAAACTTGTAGAATGCACGAATAAATGAATGAAACCCAGGGGCCGGCTGGTTAGTTCAGTTGGTTAGAGTGTGGTATTGATAACACTAAGGTCAAAAGTTTGATCTCTGTACTGGCCAGCCACCCTCTACCCCCCAAAACAATCAATGGAAGCCAAACAAGCCCCCTGTATAGCTTAGCCATCATTAGTTAAATTATTTTACGTATCAATGTTATTGATGTAATGTATTTGTTTTAATGCATTGGTGTCACTTTTTTTTCCAGAATGGTTTATAGGATGCTTTCTTGAACTCTTGGGAAAATTTTTTTCCATGTTGATTAAGTAAATTAATAGAGTGACATTTAATTGAGAAGTTTCCTGAGGCTTTATGTGCTCCTTCCTAAGTGTATGTAGGTCACACTAAAGGTGAAGCAGGTGATGGAAAGTGAAGGATTTTGAGTGACTGTTTATTCCATGTTCAGAAATTAGGAAACTATAGCCCAACAGTGAGTATGAAAGACACAAAACTGACTAACTTATAAGGCAGAATTACGGTAGCATTCTTCTTCATCTCTTGAAACAGGTTTTCCTAAGTCAGTTAGCAAGATGCCCAGAAAATGAGCCAAAACGTGTCATCGATATTGAAGATATATGGTAATAATGTCATGTGAGTTGTAGTATTAGGATTCTCTAGTAAGAGATATTAATTAAAAATGCAGTGACACAAACTGAGAAAACACAGATTGCAACGTGTACTTGCATGAAAGGGAACAGTTTAGAATTAGAGCCAAAAGATAATTACATTGTTGTCATCTCTATCTTGATGATTTTTTTTAAAAAAAAATCCTGTTTACCACACGAGAAAATGAACCTATCTATTTCTTTTACTTTGATCTTCTAATGGCTTTATGTTTGTTAGCAGGACTGGGATTAATAGAAATAGGCTTTAGGAAGATGTAGAAGTTGTTCATTAAACTTATGTTTAACTCATTAAAAAAGTGGTGGACTAACGGGTACAAAACTATGCTGTTTATCCTGAGTGGATCATTGTGCTAGATTTTGCATGTATTGAAACAACACACTGTACTCCACAAATACGTACAAGTAAATGTTACAATATTTTGAATAAAATTTAAAAAGTTTAATTTAAAACGAAAAAATT